AACTGGTCGCAGCGTTTTGCTTAATTACACTTAATCACAATGCGGAGTGCTGATTCCGGCCTCATACACCCATAAGGATATTTACATATCTTACATATCACCGTGCCTTCCGCCCCAAGGCTGACAGGTCAAACGGAACCTGCATTTTAGAAGTACCATTCGAGACAAACACTGATGATCAAATTTAATATGCTTTTGTCACGACTTGTACCTTGAGCTTTACTAATTAAATTTTTGGCATCAACTTCAGTTGGAAAACAACTTGGCAAATGTATGGTGGCATACGTTGTGCAGTAGATTTAATAAAACATATCAGTTATTCCTTGAACAAATTATTCCTTCCTCCGTTTATATTCTAAAAAATGATCGGTTTGGATCAATTTTTGCATATACATCATAAATTTCAACACAGAGCAGCAATAAAATATTTATTATACACAGAAATGATTCGATTTTTATGGCCATCGGTAATATTACCTATAAGCTTAACCGAACTGACAAGAACTACCAAAATGTCACTGATCATCGTAATTCGTAACCGTAATTCGTGGGTAACTCTGATAACACCAGGCTTTGAATGAAATGGTGATCAGAACAGAGACCGACAGTTTTATCAGCACTATCACAGAGACTTCATTGCTTCTATGTGAAAAGTATGGAAACTAATGATCTTCGTACGAAAGGCACATGGGCAACAGTTATAGAGTACCACTGCCTCAAAAACGTACGAAGCCACCGCATCCTCTTTCAGGCCTTCGGAACCCTGAAAGGAGTTGTCGTTCGTTTAGCCACGTAATGAATTGGACCATGCTTCCGGTACTCTTCGCTCTCACACTGAAAACTGACAGACCGTGTTGGAGTTTTCAGGAAGCATCAAATACCGTAACCAACATGACATGCGATTTGCAGGCGTTTACTCTCTTTTCCAAAATTTTCGTTTCCTGGGTCAGAGCCTCCAACACGTTCCACGAATACGTATCCAAGTATTCAGCGATATGAACTAAATGTAAAACAGTAAATTACGAATTTAAAAGGATTTCAAATAAAGTAAATAAGGATCAAGGTTAAAATTAATTAGTCCAAAGTATGGTCCGATAAGCAGAATGAATGTCTTTTCGTTAGTCATTTAGATTCGACAGGCTTTATCGTTTCAAATCGCGGAGGCTACAGCGGGAGGGAATGTCTCGAATGTTCGAAATCCTGAGGTAGCGCCTGAGTTTCGGCAGAAAACGTCATTAATCTTGAGCACAGTTCTTAGAGACACTTGCCACACAGGTCATTCTAGGCTTTGACCAAGGGCATTTGTTCTGCCAATCGAACAAGTGTCAGCTGCCTTGCTTACCTTCCCGGAAACATTTGCATATGCACTCAAACCATCGAAGCTGTGACTCCTCAATCTGGAAAAGCAATGGCTGTGCACCAAGGCATACTTAGATATCTGAACTCCGGAATGCACATATAGGTGTGCAAGTGGCGCAAAACAGAGTTTAATCTAATATTGATCGTACACAGTACCGTAACCAGTGTGCAGCAGCTGAAATTGCTACTAAAATTAAGAATGCTAGTGCAATCTGCATAAACGGTGCCATTCAGGGGAAAAGCAGATGTTTTGTTGAGAAGGTCAGTCCTGAAGTTGAAGGACGGTCGTTTGATGACCTGGACATGAGGTGGGCACTGCCGAGTTCAAATGCCATTTTGCAGGTGTGGCAGAAACGACAACTTTGTTGATTCGAAGGTACAGCAAGAAGCCTTTAAGACCAGGACGGTAAAAGGGCATAACAACCGTTAACACAGATCTCCTCTGGTCGGCAGGAGGACTACCGCGGAGAGGAACTGGCATATCTCCGCAACTCATTAGTTCAAACGTGCTATGGCCCATGATCTACAGTGCCGAATGTTCGTCTACTAAGAAAACCGACGGAAACAAGCTGGCTGCCATACAAAGAACGAGTGCGACAACGGACCGGACTACAGGAGTTGCTCTCTGCTAGCAATGAAGGCAACCGTTTGGGAAACAACCAGCAGAATTACGATTTGAACTCCGTTCGACTAAAAGATGCTGGTAGGAACCGATGATCAAACTGTTGTCAGCGATGGAGGCAGAGAGTATAAGAGGGAAATATTAGAGGGAAGTTGACCTGTGTTCATGGAATGCCCAGAAGCGAGGACAAGTTTAAAAAAAAGCGATAAAAGACTTGAAATAGTGGAAAAAACCCGGCTCGACGTGACGTCACCTCGTCCTTGTTACCCGCAGCATGAAAAACTGAAAGGTACTTTGATCTGGCATTCTGACTAGCCGCAGCGCCGTTTCACAGAAGAAAATGGCCGACTCTCACACAATATGTCTTTATGACCTTTCCTTAGGAACATAAAATTATGGGCCATCTGGCAGAGCCTCGAATGTCACTCAAGGATAATTCCGAAGTCGTGTAGCATTATGGACGACAAACCCTGAAAAAATAGCAACATCGGTAAAAGACAACCTGTGATAGGAAATAAGTTGGGACATTGCACCAAATTAGCCATCAAATTAGCATATCCACATACTGAATCATAATGAGATGCGAGTGCGATATAACGGTTATAAATATATGACATAACTATATTTGAATTCAGTTAAAGGAGGTGATCATTTTTCTGTCCGTGAAACAGGTGATAAACTTAATAGGAATCAAATTAACTAATTAATTTGTTTCTTGTCATTCAGCTAACTAATTTATCACTACTGAATATGCGAAATACATGCACAGTCAACAAACATCAAGTCAAATTGCTATTTGCTGCATTACGAACAAATCATAACACTTCACTCACGATCGTAACTCCATTTATTGCTAGGAACGCAGAGACGCTTTTTGGCTCGCTTCAGTTCCTTTTTCAGTTCTTCCTGCTTTTGTAGGAGGCCGTTAATCTTCGCTTTAAGGATAGCATAATCATGGGAGTTACACGTCGATGTGCTTGGCAACGGCCGAGAGGGTGAACGAGGACTGCTGACAACAGATAAAAAAGTCCTTCCGGGGAAATTCGACGGACTCTGAGGAGCGCTTCTTGAGCGGAAGTTCAAAACGTCTATAAAGTCAGAAAGTTCGCACAAAATTGTTAAAGTTAAAAAAATAAATAATATGGTAATTAAGCCCTGACTGACGTTAATAAAGGAATAACTCCATCGAAATCTGGTTTTATGACTTAGACAATACGTGGTGTAAAAACACCGTATCAAACAAGGTGCCTGAATTACTCAAATCTGGCAAGTAGAAATGATAATAACCTTTCAATAGATACGTAGCACTCTGCCATTTTTATAAGCGCTTACGAAGGCTGTGATATTACCACCTTTTGGGTCTGTTATTAAATCGTCTTGGAGATCGTAGATATCATAATAAGCCATGTTTCAATGTTGCGCACTTTGTCACTCAACACACATCTTTCACTGTGGGATCTTTGCCTCACATATCATTGTGGCATTAACGTAGTAAAAAAATTTAAATTACTGTGGAACCACGTCTTTGAACCAAATTTGCAACCGGCTTGACATTTAGGACTGCTGGGCAAACTTTCCGCTTGGTCAGAGCTGAGCGGCGATGGAGAATTGACCGTCGACGAATTCTTTGAGCCGGGAACGGTTACTGTAGAGGTAGCGGCTTCACGAGCCGCTTCCGGCAGGAAGTCACGACGATTGGTCCTGAACGGATTGACGACGAAATTCAGTTTGCCGCCCATTGTCCTGTGAAGGGAAGAAGGTGGCACAGCAAGGGGTTCGGCACTGATGGCAGAACTATTGTCGCTACCGCGCCCGCTGCTGGTGCACACGCTTGACTTTGGCTTTGTCAGCTTACTGTATGGCGACTGGAACGACGGCGATTCGCCGGCCAGAATGCCGCTGTCGTTGCCGGAGTCGTAGCCGGACGATGACCGTTGGCCGGAGTGAGAGACAGCGGATGACCGGTCCATCGTCCACAGCTTCGAGCAGCCTCCTCGGGCTGAGTTTGGCAGAGTGGCAGCGGAGAACTTCAGGCGCTTGTCGACGGCCTTTTCGGACTTTGGGCTCGAGCCCTTCGATGGCAGGATCATTGCCGATGTGGCCACCTCTACCTTCTCGCTCTTTCGCTTAAAAATACCACCCTGAAAAGCCGGTTGGTGCTTTCGCTTCGACGCAGAGGCGGAATCGCCCTTTCTCGTTTTATGCTCTTTCGAGGGCTTTTGCTTTGGCTTTTCTAGACCATGCTTCTCTCGCGCCTCTGGCGACCTTAACAACGTCTTAGTCAACGTAACGTCCTCCAAGCCATTGGTTTTGGCGATAGACACCTCGACAGCGACCTGTTTGACTGGAACAAAATTCTTTGAACAACGCTTCGCGTTGGA